GGTACAGTTTTAACTTTTTTATGGAATATTATTAGGATGCTTTGAAAAAGATAGCTCCCACTTGGATGAACGTTTCTTTGGCTATGAAGAAGGATCCTGAGGCAGATAAAGCTTTTGGATGGGTTCTTGAGATGTGAGATACCACATCTGAGTTTATTTGTAGCTGCTTGCCCTTAGCGTTTTTAGTTGCCAACTTAGAGTGAATTGCTGCAATTGTAGGTATGGGTATGCAGTTGCATCAGCATTACAGGGTGTGAGTAACATCTTGCACAAGGAATTCATGATTCAGGTCGGGGCATATTTTTGGTGTGTTGTTGAGTATCTCGTGAGGCGAATCTTTTTTAATTAGATAAGCAAAAATATTTGAATTTGTAGTATTTGTGGCTAATATTTCTTATGGATGTTTATGTTATCGTTGAATAATGGATGGCCTAATAGTTGTATATCTCGTCACATTTGTACAGCCTCCGTGGGACACGACAACCCGCGAGACCTACATAATTCATTATACTTATGGATGTGACTATGATTTGCAGGTATTATATGATAATGTTATTAATCTTTCGTCCTTTGATATTATTTTAGGATTATGATTACATTTTTTTTTTTACTTTTCTATGTTTTTGGGTCCTTGGGGAATTTGGACTTCGGAGTAGGAAGTGGAGAAATTATTTTTATCTTTCTTACTAAATGGTTTGGATTGATATGCCATGTAATGCCTTTCAGGGTAAGATGACTTACGGAAAAATTGGAGAGTGGAGATTTGACAAAAGAACATATAGCAATAGCTGGCCTCCGAAAAATCTTTCTTTGCCGCCTCCTGGTGTTCCAGAAAGTGTGGTACGTTCTTTTATAACCTAATTAGTGTGCATTTATATTCTTAGCTTTTTTACATGGTTTAGGACAACCGATAGCTTTGTATGGGCTACATTTGGAAATAGAGAATACAACGACCATAGGGATTGGGGATAAGCATTTGTTTGCCTCTAATGATTTTCTTTGTTCGGCTTTGTGATTTGTAATAACTTTTGGGTGCATCAAGAGATTGCGGTTTCTATTTTCTTGGTCTGATGATCATCTTAATGGGAGAAAAAAATTTACATGTGAATTTCGGACGTGACAGGTTACACTGGTGAAGATGGTGAATGAGGCGACTGCCAATATTCCAAACTGGGGTTCCTAAAATTCTAATCCCAGTTTTCCCTGTAAACAATTGTGCCAGTTTTAACTCGCTACTTTAGACCAACAAGAATAGGACCTTATTCCTCGCATGAGCTGAAAGCAAGCTGCCTTTGAGTTTTTTCGGGCTCAAATTCTGTTGTTTAATTTGTATTTGGAATTCTCTGTGCTAGTTATTACTATACATATCAATGGGGGATGGTTGGGTGGGATTTTGTAAATCATGAAGAGAATAACACCATCCTCTTTCNCTTTCTAGTTTCATCAATATGTGTGTGTGTGGAGCGGTTCCAATGGTAACCATTCATAATAAGAGATCATAGGAATTAATCACAGCTATCCATATATATAGATCTGAGGGATGTAAATTGATTAGAGAAATGAAATGAATGTCTTCATCCCTTTACTACGCATCATTGATTACATCATTGAAGATATGTGCATCAATCAACTTTTACACGAGCATTATATTATTGTTTAGCATGTTTAGAAGTATATTTAAAATAATTTTAGTGGTCTATTGATCATCCTCAATATTAGCACAATTTTAGAATATTTAGAAATAAATGATGCAAAGTTATTATTTTTTTTTACTGGTTCGATTTGAAACAAATCCAATATATATTTGCTTTTTAACTATTGTTCCCATTATTGTTTCCTCCAAGATTGTAACGCCCCGATCATTTTTAAAATATTAAGACGATTTCACTGCTCGAGTTTAAAGTGAAATTCGTAATTTTCAGAAATTCAAGATTTATTTAATTTTAATGCTAAGTGCTCATTATAGTATGTAAGATCATTCATTAGAATTTTATTCATCATGTTAAGGTCAAGATCAATTCATTAATTTGGGTTGATAAGTATATCTATTTGACTCGAGAAATTCACTGTCTTCGAACCCTAGTCTCGATCCGAATAAATTTTTCTAAGTCATTTCCAAGCATAGCCGAGTCTTGATATCATGATACTTAGAATATTTTCTAAGTGTTATGAAGTATCAAAGTTCAAGCCTAGACTTTATTCTCGAACCCTAACCTATTCCCGAGTCGCTCGCGCACTTAAGACCCGAGTCGTGCCAAGCCCTCGTGTGAGCCGAGCCCCGAGCCAAGCTTAATGTTTAGTTGAAGTGTTAGGATTATTCTAGGTATTTTTCTAAGTCCAAAACATTACAAGAACCAAGCCATATGTTCAGCCCAAGCAAAACCCGCGAGCCACCCATGCCGAGCCACTCGAGCCGCGCCATACGCGCCCAAATCGAGCCCAACCAAGTCAAGACTCAACCATTTCGAATTTTCAACATTTTAAGTGGTCCATGTTGACCAAGACCAAGTCACTAATTACCTTTGACCAACATTAGTCTTGGAGATATCCCTTCTTGAGTTCTACCCCCAACAAACTCACCTCTTTTGTTGTGCCCAAGACAAATGTCTTGTCCCCTTGTCTCCTTGACCCCTTAAACCCCCAAGACAAAGAGAAATCAGATTGTTACCACTTCATTTTCGTTCTAAGTAAGAGAGAGAGCTCCAACACTTAGCAAAAAAAATAAAAAAAAAAAGAGTGAAGAAAGCTCCATCTCCCCCCTTTCACACTATTCACGCCACTAGCCCCTCTAGCCCTTTTTCCCTCGTGTAGCCACCACCAAGAAGACCATTTGGAGTTGGAAAAAGTCCCTAGTATCCTTAGAGATCATCCTAAGCCCTCAAAGTCACCGGAAGTCGCCCCCAAAGGCACCATTGCCGCGAGCAAGCCAAGGAGAGAGCCTAGTGTTCATTTTCGAGTTTGGTGAAGGTAGGCTACCCCAATCCATTTTCCTCAGCTTCCATATGATAAAATAAGATTTATCAAGTGGATAAACCAAGTTTTTCTTGCATTTAAAGTGGAGTTTCGAATTTTTGAAACTTAAGGCCTTAAATTCGGATTTTTAGTTACAAGCATGTTTTGGCTGATTTTATTTGATGATAAATCATTATAAATTATGTGGAAGTATGTGGTAAAATTTGAGCATGTTTGGAGTTCATTTGCTAGGTCATCTAGGACCTCATATGGTCGCATTTTTTAGCCTCCGAACCAAGTATTTGTGCATTCGAGTTTTACCATGAGTATTGGCTTCTAAAATCATGTTTTTGCATGTGTAGCTTTCGGCCATAGCAAGAAAAAAAAATGAAATGAGTTAGTAGTTCCGGTGACCTTAGAACATTCGAGCCACGCATGTCATTAGCTATGAGTTTTGAATTTTAAGGAATTAAAGGCTTAAAAATCGGATTTTTAGTACATTGCATGCTTAGGACGAATTTGTTAGCTAAATGTCCCTTATAAATCATGAGAATGAAGATTTATAAGTTTGAGCATTTTTGGAGTTCGTTTGTTCGGTCAACTTGTTCATGATTTTATGTGAAATTTCACCTCCGAGCCACATTAGTATACATGCAAGTTTATGCTATCATTTAAGCCTCATTAGTCATGATTTATTATGTTAAGGACTCGGCCTTAGTCATATATGGTAGATTGAGAAGTCGATTTGGTGACCCTAGGTCCGTACGTGCCTTATCGGCCCTACCGGACTACATGCATTTTGACCCAAGGTCTCATAGCATTTTCTTGCATTTTTGTGCCTATTGTATCATGTTGAAGTGATATATGTTGCATGTCCCTAGTAAATTTCCAAAAAGTCGGAAAGGGGTCGGTCATGGTCACTAGCCGCGCCTACCGCGCGTGCAGGGCGGACCCCGTACCTGTACCTCGCGCATGTACCCAGTGTCGCGCCAGTCCCGGGACGTGCCCAACAGCACGCCTGCGCGTCCAGTAGCCCCAGGGACGCCCGGCAGTGCCCTGGCAGCTCAATCTGTGTCGGCCCCGAGCCGACCTAAGTCCAGCCGCGTCCGGTCGTACCCAGCGTGCCCAGCACTGCACCCAGGCACCAGCAGGCCCGGTGCGGGACCGAGCCCAGTTAGTTCGAGACAGCGCCCGACCGCCCGGTTTAGCCCGAGCCGACGGTCCGGCCAATCAGCGAATCGGCCGGTTCACCGGCCGTTCAAGCCTATATTTTTGGTTCATGAGTTCCGATCCGAGATTTTTTTTCCGGACTTTAAGTATTTTTTTGAGCTAAACCAGTCAGTTCAAGAATACCAGTTATAAATCTGGACTTAGTATATTTTTAAGCGAACCTTTAGCACAGTCTATTTCATCCGGTAAATGAGCATTTCGAACTGAGCATCTTAGCATAATAATTAAATATTCCGAGCATAATACTTAGCATTATTTTTATGTTATGTAGCCTAAGGAGAGTCGAGCCTCCGACCGTTACTTCAGTTCAAGCACTTGCCAGCTATTTTCAGTATACCAGGTGGGAGCCTTTACAAGGCGTTACATTGCGCTTTTCAGTTATCTTGTATAAGGTACGTGAGTAAAACAGTTATCTGAACGGTCGAATTATCCCGTTCGTGGTCAAGTTAAGTTCTCCCAGGTGAGAGGCCGACCTAAGGGCCTTCCTGATCCACCTGGTATCCGGCTGGGGCTTCGGCCTCAGTGTCTGGATGGTGTGCACATGAGCGGCCGAAGGGCCGAGGGTCTTTGACCACAAGAAAAGAAAAGAAAAAAAAAAAGAAAAGAAAGATTAAATTCAACTCTTCTATATTGAAGTTCATGATATGTTATTATAGATGTTGTCTAATTCAGTGTCGACCAGAGTAAGTGTCATGTACGGGGTTTTACACCATCTATAATTATTTTACCATGACTGAGGTATGTTCGAGAGATTAAAGTCCTCCCAGGTGAGAGGCCGACCTAAGGGTCTTCCTAATCCACCTGGTATCCAGCTGGGGCTTCGGCCTCAGTGTCTGGATAGTGTGCACACGAGCGGCCGACCTAAGGGCCGAGCAAGGGTCTTTTGACCAAAGTTAAAGTTTAAGAAAAGTTTACAGTGCATCTTATTTATTTATACGCTGATGTTTTGTTTACTGTTATTAAGTTTATGGTTACAGCTTACAGCTATTAAGTTTATGTTTACAGCTATTAAGATTATTTCAGTTCCAAACTCCCACGAGCATAAAGATGTGCTCATACTCCCACAGTCTTTCTTATTTCAGCTGACGGAGTCCAGCGTGCCGGGTGAGCAGATGTGGCAAGCGTGGTCATGAGCAGTAGACATTTTTATACGCAAATATGCCCCAAAAATTTATAAGCATGTATTTATATGTATGAGTGTGATATGTATATTTTATTTGTAAGTTTCCGCTGAGTTAGTGCGATCAAGCGGACTACATGTATATTTTTCCTATCACTACAATGGTTCGATTGGATGCATGTTTTATTTATGTCCGAGATATTAAGTTAAGAAATGTTTTTGTAGCATCCCGTAATTAAGAAAGCATTTTCGAAAATAAACTAGCACAATATTTCAAAAATAAAAGCAAAAAATTTACTCTGATTTTTAAAAGTCAAAGCTAGTCAAGGCGGGGTGTTACAAAGATACATTCAACTGTTCATATATCTCCGGATTCATATATATCTCTGGTCTGAATCCAGTTACAGGTTGACTTATAACTTTGCTGTCTCCAGTTTTTCATTGTTGAGAAGAAACATTCAAGCATGATAAATTACGCAGCATTAACTTACATGTACACTGCTAGTCAATACAATAAACACTGCTACATTAGGTGCCTAAAGATAGATTACCATAACAGTTGGGAGTTGGTCTCAATGGATAACCTAACATAATACATATACAAAAGGCCTGTCAGAGCTGAGGGTCATTCAATTCAGAAAACGCCTGCAATTCTCGGAATTACAGTAGCAAGGGATTTTTTCACCTTCATCTTCATGGCTAAAATGGTAATCATATGTTATCTCTTCTCCCGGGTATATGTCTCTTTCCGCAAAAAATACCACCTATATACATAATAAAAACGGCTCATTACAAATGAGGAAAATTTGAAATAAAACAGTCTAGCTCTTTGTTATAGAGAGTTGTGTTCTGAAAGCAAAGTTAACGAATCTCAAATTACCTTCTTTTCATTCCTCACGCAAATGACTCGGGCAATGCAGTTTGGCTGCTCGAGCAACAGAAGGGAAAAGAGCCAGTCAGGAAAATTCAATAAAAGTACATAAACTGCTGCATATAAAGGAGATTGCTAGATGAGGAATATTCACCTCACATGAATGGTTGACAAATCGAGCAATCCCACCCTTGCGAGTTGCATCAATTATGTGTTCTTTATCTATCCTGAAGAAATAGCAAGCACCCTTATGCTGCATTTTCTTTCCTGAGTGATATTCCTTCTCCCTTCTGTCTGCCACACGGGCGCCCACTATTTCACCTACATATTCGACAACCTAGGAAGAGAACAACTAGATTGAGACTTTTATAATCAACAATTTTGCATTTTTCCATTTTTTTTAAGAAAAAAGGGAAAAATAAATTTAAACAGAAATATCATTAGAACAAACCATTGCTCCACAAGAGATGAACTGAGATGTGTAGAGACCTAGAGCATGTATGCCAGATTTATATACAACCAAATGTTTCCAGCCTTTTGAATGCTTATGGCGAACATAGGCTTTCTGCAACAAGAGAATAATTAACATTAGAATAACAGTTATTAGACCAGGACCAAAATTTTCTTATGACACTGGTGTCTGCCTGGATGATACTAAAAATTTGAAAATGAAAAAGAAAAAAAAAAAATACCCGATAGTCAGATTCGACGACTGAACTTGGGAGCTTTGGGCGCCCTTTTCTCTGTGGCTTTTGTCGATGAATGTGCATCCATGCATTTAGCTGCTCTTGTGGAACAAGGCAACTGGCATGTCCATTTGCATCTGGAGACTGATTATGCAAAAAACCTTCTCGTTTTCGACCCTTGTAACCCTAATGAGCAAAGCCTTAAACATTAGGAAAAAGAAAAAAAAAAAAAGCTTTCATTTAAGAAAATATATTCAGCTGATTTCCTTAATTGGATACCTCAGCTCGTGCACAGGTTAAAGATTTCTCTTCAGGCAGAACACTTCCATTATCATCATTAGTAATAAACATGTGTGACGTGGCATCGATAGTTTTGGCCTCACAATGGAGCCCCTGTTGCAAGGGAATTGAATTAGAGTGCTTGAAGGCATTACGAACCAAATCATTATCCATTTAGAATCATCAATGAACAAACATTAACATGACCATAACCATGAGGAAGTCAAAGTCAAACATGCAAATTTATCTGCTCTCGCTAATGCACACTTTTAAGTTCTAAAAAATACTTGAGAAAGGTTGTTAGAAAAAAGGAATCACAACAAACACTATGTTTTGAATGGATAATCCTCCATGTTAAGGGAAGTGTTTGTTGAGAAAATTTTTAGTTATTAACCAAAAATGTTTTAACAACTCTACCAGTATCTTCAATTCATTTCAGATTCACAATACATATGAGTTTTGGTACTGAGTGCTGGTAATTTAGAAACAATAAAGCAAGTTGCATGGCCTCTACAACATGGCATGCTGAGGATGCTGAGCAGGATTTGGACATCATAATGTGAAGGATACGGAAAAAGAACAAAGGTTATAAACGCAATGCATACCTTAATTAAGGACCTGGTGGACTCAATTAATTTATCACATCCATCTTGGTCTGAACTCTGACAAATGTGGCAAAATTTATCAGGCTGGTGCTTTCTCGAGCATCTACACCATTCCAAAAGTACTAGGTCACAGTATGTAATACTGATTTCATGATTTGTATCACTACTGTACAAATTAAGCTACCCTTTAAGAACTAGCAATGATTATGCACCTCTTAGCATTGTTCACTTCATTCTTTTGAACTCTATGAGTATCTACAGCATCCGTGACCCTCTCTTCCCAGTATTTGCCAGGTGTTCGGCACGAAGATATGGCAGAAGGGCTAACAGATTTTAAGTCACTCCCTAGAGGAAATAATTGAAGTGAGATAAGGTGCATAATGAAAAATGAAGCTGATGATACAAAGGATAAGTACTCATCCACAATATGAATTGCAAGAGTAGTGAAGATAATTACAAAAATACATTTTCTTAAGGACTTTCAATTCAGTATTCAAATGGAAATTGTAACTTTTGAAGGAAACATCCACAAGATTTTTACATTAAATTTCCAATGGTAAAACCTGAGTATCAGATGTTGATAAAAGTCAAGTTTTCTATGAAATTAGATATGACCGAAGTTTATTGGCTAGAATAAATACTAGTACATGTATCACGAATTTAGTTGAGGTAGAATTAAAAACAATATGGGAAAAACATAACACTGATGATCAGATAGAGATAACAAATTTATAGAGCTATTTCAAATACTAGTCCAAGTTGAAGAAGGGTTGTAGATACTATCAAGCACAAGAGTACTAGAACCTGAAGACCAAAACTTCTCTGGTGAGCAAGGAATGCAAATCTCACCAAAAGTACCTTTAGTTAAGAGTTCATGAAGGCTGCGTTTTCGACCTTCCTTGTGCGTCCTGTTCACATCAGCCCCAAACTTGCTGCCTCCAATACAATGGCTGTTGCTTTTCATCAAAGTATAAGACAGATCATCATTTCCAATTGTTTCTATTGGTAGAGATTCCGCTTCAATTGGTAGAGAATTTTTATCTCGACCCCTAGGAAATTTCTTGCTTGAAACTATTCCCATCAGGCGTTGGGCACTCGTCTCCTTCACCTTCACAAAAATGGAGTCCTGTTTGTCATTGTTGCAGCCATTCTTGTTGCTATTTTCTGTAGGAGATGCTGTAGCTTTGAGAATCTTCCTAAGGGAGACAATCTTTGTTGGTTTTGATAGACTGCCATTAGAAATGATTCCATATTCCCCAAACACTATAGGCCTTTTCATCCTCTTGGGGACATTAGGCTTACCTTGAGAATTGCAATGACTGCCCAATGATGTTAATTCTGTAGTCAATTCAGTACTACTACAGCATGTTTCTCGAATTCCATTCTTCGAGACAGACGCATTATCTAATCTTAACCTCTTCTTCCTCACCATTTCAAAAGTTTCTAATGTTTCATCAACCATGGAACATTTATCAGCCTCGGATTCGTTCTGCTCCACTCTCTTCAACTCTCTGTTGAGGGACAATTCTTTGGCAGCAGAAAATGCAGCGCCCAGCTGCTTGGAAAAACTGCTGGGACTGACTTCATCACGTCCATCTGGCATCTGCACCTTCCAGAGAGGATAATTATTCTGCCCAACTTCCTCAGTACATTTTGGAGAGTTGTTATTGATAGAGGATTGGCAGGAGACAGAAATTAGTGCATCCAACTTTGTGGAGTTTACTGTTCTCCTCCGGTTTTCGGACCCCTCATCAAACTTTTGTCCGTGTTCACACTCTTCCTCAAAGATAGAGCTTCTCTTAAGCTTGTGTGGTTGGTGTGGAAAGTACTCAGATTTAAACAAACTTTGATTGCTAATCTCTTCCATGAGACCAAGAGAAGGTTCTCTAGGAAATACTTCCAATGGTCCTCTTTTGGTGAAGTTGATTCTAGAAGCAGAACTGAATAATTCAGGACATATTTCATTATCAACTGCAGCATCATTACACGACCAGCTTCTGTCATATTTTGATTCTTCATCCAGAACAAGGCTATTTGCAAATATCACATCCCCCCTATCTTTGGTAGTAGAAGAATTTTTCTTGTTAATCTCTATGAATGACTGGGCCACATTAGAAGCAGAACATGTAGAAGAGATAATAGACACATCATGCTCCTTCAAGGGTACAACATGTTGAGCACATCCAGTAAAGCATTTAACAACATCGGCACGAGGGCTTTCCAAGGATGTATTGAAAGGACCAACTTGAAGTTCTTTCTTTGTCGAGCTGCAACTCTCCATCAATTTCTTTGGCACATCTTTCCATTGAAAAGGATGAGACTTGATGCTCTTAACATATGGGGGAACCAAATTTTTAGTACTATGAAGAGATTTAGTGCTCGCTTTCTGGAAACCATGGTCGTCGTGTAATAAACTTGTGATAGCTCCATTTCCAGCTCCTTCAACCAAGCTACAATAATTATCACCTCTGGAGTCAAACTTCTCCATCGAACAATTTTCTTGAACGGCAGAGATGCATCTTTCAGACACTTGTGATAACCCGTGAGAGCATTGACCTTTCTTGCTAAGAGTCGAGTTGCAATCAGTTTCACTGTGTATTGTATTATTAGTTAAAAACTAAAATATATACATATTTATTGAGAACAAAGAGTTTGTTTCTAGTGGTGTTTACTGGTACTTCTCTGCCACAAAACATTGATTTATCTGTTGACAGGAGCAGATTCAAGGATATTCAGTAACCAAAAAAAGTCATAAGGCTTGCCAAGAATCGCTACCTCACAAAAAACTGCTCCAGGGAAGGAAGATCACAAGCTCCCGTAGTGGACTGAGACCTTTCTGATGAGAATATAAGATATTTTAGGACTTAATAGGCTAAATCAGAGTAATAGCATGTGATAGAGTGCAGTTACCTGTCATGTTACTATGCCTTTCATCTCCATTGCCTACCCAACAAATTGTACCAGACATCATCTGCTCCCCAACTTCAGGAATTTTCGGCATCCTTGATGAATCAAGCAATGGAGCACGACCCTTTGGTATAGATGGAGAGATAGTCTTAAGCGTCTGTAGATGAAGGTTCTTGTGCACCTCACAGGCTTGGGTATATCTGATAGAAGCAATGTCATTATCTCCTTCACATAACTCCACCATATTATGCACACCAGGAACTCTCATTTTCTCATTCTGCAGATTTGGTTTTATTCCACAACCATCCTTCGACACTGTTGGAGCTGTTCTTTGTCCAAAAACTGGACTTTTGGAGGTGAACTCCATATATACTGATTCTTTAGAACTTGCAGAAATGTGGAGAGGTTTTAGCTGGTCATGTTTCAATTGCCTAACATCAGAAAGAGAAGAAATCTTCAAGTAATTGTTTAAGTCGTCTCTCGCCATCCTGTTAGATGACTGGAACAAATGTCTCTCGCCTAAAACTGGGTTAGAAATGCTCAGATCTTCCTTATACATGTTCGAGAATTCATCATATCCATTTGCAGCAAACACCAGGTTTTTACCCTTGTTCATGGTATGGGATTCCTTGATATTACCAGCTACATAACCCCAAGGAAACAAACTTTTCTCACTTATGGGAACGTGAGATTCAGACTGATGTTTCTTGTTAACAGTACAGTTATTGCCACCAATTCCATATATACTTTCGAATTGCCATTTGGTCTCAGGATTATTTAAGCACGAGAGCACCAGAGGATTTCGGTGAGTCATTCTGAAGTTGCTGTTGGATGAATCTCTTCTAGAATCAGTTACTGTGCCACACGCTTCTCCACCATGGACTGAGTGCTCCAATTGAGTAGGTTCTCTTCTTTCAATAGGACTAGATGCAATACCAGCATTCTGAAGAATCAACTTACTTCCTTGCAATTTATTACCAGCTGCATCACGTACATTAAGCAAGTTACCTAATAAAAAGCAACCCCCATGAATTAAGTTTGGAAAGAGGGATAACACTAGGACAGCATCACACCATAACACAAAAGCAAGGGGAAAAAAAAAAATTCTACATACTTCTCTGCGGAAGCTTGTCAGATGAAAGCACATTTGGGGGCTTTTCATGTATGCCATTAAGATTAGATACAAAGTAAGGTGTAGTTTTAGTCTCCAATGTCTGACTTTGCCCTGGTGGTTCGCCCAGTCTCAGTTCAGTATTGGATGGAACTCCTAGCCTCTCGACAATGGAACAAGTATTTCTTCGGACATCAAAGCCGGTAAATGGTGTTTTAAAGTCTTGTGTACTGGGGAGAGCAAGCAAAGAATTTGAACTTCCACAGACCGACTCTAATTTGGCTCTACTGGAATGAGAAGCTTTCTCAATGTTCATGTCAAAAGGGTTTTGGACTCCCCACATCTGTTTATCAGATGCATGCGGCAGGTTTTCTTGTGAAACATTAATGAAGTTCTTAAAAGCATAATTAGTGCATTCTTGAGAATTCCTGCCCTTTTCATGGTGTGCATATTCCTGGCTTATGTTTTGGAATCTCCCATTTCCCTTTGTATTTAATACACTTCCTTGCAGCTGGTCAGAGCTTACTGAAGTCTTGAAAGAGCAAAGTTCATTCCATGAAACAGAGTTGTTCGAGTTATTGGGAATAGGATGATTTGTCGAAGCCGAAGCTGGTGATATTCCTTCAGGCCAATCCCATCTTTTGCGCCCTTCCAATAATCTAATCTAAAGCATAACAAAAGAAAAAGTGTGCTTCTAACATCAGTGTGATTTTATTTTCACATATGAACGATGCTCAAGTTTTACGTAGTGGTCGGTTGAAAGCGGATGAAACTATAAACAACTGGATGGAAAAAATATGTCCTATTTAATAATATAATATTCTTGAATGTCAGAAAAATGCATATGTGATGCAACTAAAGAAAAATATTGATTAACCTACCCCAGATTTGTCAGAAAATGTTTTCCACCAGTGAGCTATAGTCACTCCATTGTTCATACGAACTGCACTCCCAGGATCCAAATCATACAAACCCGAATGCTGCTGAAGAATTTCAGTTTAATACTTTTTTTTTCTTCAGAAGAATAAAAAATTTGAATGTTGACTGACCTCTGAGAATTTGGAGATCGACATATACAAACCATGGCATGCACAAACCACTCCAAGAAGCCCAGTATCACTGAGAAGTAAATTTCCACCTTCGAAATCATCATCCAGTTAGTACAGATCAATATGAAATGCAACCAAAGGCAAAATCAGCCAAAGAACAACGAAAACTTACTTATGCCGGAACAGAAAACATGGGGTAAACTGCTAGGAAGATTATGGCTATGATGGTGTACAACAGGAGCTTTCAGCAAAGCTGTTAGATCATTATTCTTCTGGGGATTCCAACTGTTAGCAGGGATTGGACCAGCATTATTGAAGCCAATCAGAGAAGAAAAACTCTTGACCTTGTCTTTCTTATGGGTATTCTGGAAGTTCAAGTTTGCAGCCTGATTCACAGTAGGATTGTTGCTACTGATTGTAATAGAATTGGATGGCATAAGAGGGAAAGAAACCTCTCTGGATAACCAATTCTGGCTGTCCATGCTGACCGGCCATAAAGCACCAGAAAGTTCTGAAACTCGAGTTCCAGCAGAAAAGCCATTAGTATTCTGACTTAGTGAAGCCTGACTAGAGATAGGGTGTGCTTTTGGATCCAATAAATGCTGCAGATCACTGGACACATTTGATGAGCTCCCAAAAAGAAATGATGAAATAGAAACTCCATGATTGGCATTGAGGTTATGCGGATTTGGGGGCACGCGCTCCGGAATTCTTTCATGTTTTAGTGACATAGGTTCCTGCAAATGAAAAAAGAGTTACAAAATTCTAATACATTGTTCTGTAGCCTGGTGGAAGTAACAATTGCAATACACAGATGAATTCATAGCTGTTAATGTGTACCTTGAGGTCTTTACCCCCATATATAGTTTGATAAACGATCATAACATTCTCCAGTACAAATAATTTCCAGTAACAACCAAACATAAAAACTACAAGACCAAACATTGCCTTAAAAGTTACCATATTGTACAAGACCAAACATTGCCTTAAAAGTTACCATATTGTAAACAATAACGTTGAATCAGCAGCTCTCCTTAGAGACACGAGGAAATATTGTAAAATAAGTTAACGCTAAAGTCTTGCTAAGCCTTCCTCAGTTATAAGAAGGATTCAGCCACACAGACAAATTATTGAATAATTGCAACTCGGGCCCAAACTCGGTGGAGAACTCGGGTCATTTTCCTTCGAATTAAACAAAAATTATCATTTCTTTAAACAATCAGATGAAAAATAAGCTTTCGACAAGCAATAGATAAAGAACATCCGACAATTCCTTCACAAATTTCACCATGAAAAGAACATGCAAGAAAAAGTCCAATTGTCGAAACACAGAACATAAGGATAAAACATCTCGGGCGCGTTTCAGTGTAAGAAACCTGAGCGTAAGAACCATGCAATGGAGACGCCACCAGCTGCGGTGGCACCGGCAGGGGCGGCGCCGTTGGCTGCCACGTGGATGCACATTTGGTGTACCAGGAATTTTCCATTTGCGAACAAGCGAAATATCCTCAACTTTCCGCCATTAGAACCACCATTATCAAAAAATAAGCTCGAATAAAAAGATAATAAATGAGCTGCGAGTTGGTGGGTGTCTTGACTCTTGAGTGAGAGACAGAGAGAGAAGACGGAGAGAGATACAGACGTTTGTATGTGTTCTCTCTCTATACGAACAAATGTAGCAGAGCATTTAGTGAGAGAGAGAGAGAGTGTGTATGTGTGAGTGAGTGTGTGGGAAATGATGACTAAAAAGCGCAGTCCGTCTGATGGATAATCGGAAATTATTTTTTATGCACAGGTGTCAGAGAGTGAGGAACCGTACGCGAGCGGTGCTGCGCGTGTAAAGTATCGCGCAATTTTCGCCGTTCGATCGCTTAACGCAGGGATTAGTACAGCCGTCGATCTTCACTGCTGCGAGTATGTAAAGTTTTCTTTTCTTTCATCTTTTACTGTGAAAAAGCGAAGAGGGGGGGTTCAGGGTGGGTCCCACTTGATGGGTTGTAATCTGATGCTTTCTGCCTCTATGTCGCAGAGGATTGTGGACCGCGATAATCCACCCATTTGACTTCGTAGATGGTAGGCCCAACTTTCTCATATTACATGGACTGCGATCATCCACCCATTGGGCTTCATATGTTCAATATTATTTTTTTTTATCGTTATTCATAGGTCCAATATTCTCATATCACAAGAAGTTGAGGCCCACGTATAGATTAACATAAATGTTTTATATTGGGCTTCACCACACACATGTGTCTTAAGTTGAGGCCCACGTATTAATCGACGATACTTATACGCAGATTCCCCCATTTTTCACACCTTCACTCACGGAGTTTTTGCAAATTAGGGTTCCAAGCTGCTGCTGTGCCTCACTATCCTCATTCCCCCACAGGCGCCCTTTAGAAAGCATCCATCATGGCGGAGCAGGTAAAAGGCTCCATTCTGACTCATTCATAAATTGTTCGATGTAAATTTATCATTTGTCTTTTCATTTGTTTGTATGAAGAACCCTGCCTCTCATTTCTTGTCCTGAACCAACCCTAATTTCCAATCTTCCAGACCGCAACCCATATCTGTTGCATATTCTTCAAGAATAATCGTTCTTCTTTTTTAATTGAATTGTAACCCATATCTGTTGCATATACTTCAGGATTAATCGTTTTTGTTATTTATTTCAATTGCAGACAGAAAAGGCGTTTTTGAAGCAGCCTAAGGTGTTCCTATGGTAAGAGCATGCTTAGGCATTGTTTGTTTTGTTACTGTATTAATCTCATTGGATCTTGCTTTGAGAGAAAGCTTGGTTGTGGAGAAGCTGGAAAATTATAATTATGCTGAGATGATCTTTCTTCATGGTTGTAGTAGATTTTCTATTTGTTGGCTTACATCTGAACAAAACGCTTGTTAGCGAAGAAATATATGCTACCTTTTTCTTGATCTCAGTGTGTTGTAATTTTCTATGTTTCATGATATTTGTAGCTCCAAGAAATCAGGGAAAGGAAAAGCTCCTGGAAAAGGAGGGAACCGCTACTGGAAGAGCATTGGGTTGGGTTTTAAAACACCAAGAGAAGCCATTGAAGGTCCAAATCTATTATTTCTACTCCGTTTTGATTTGTTTATTTCTATGGAAATCATATTTTACTGTACATATCGACTTTCTAGTTTGAGCCATATAATCAGTCAATTGCATTGAGCACTCTTGTTAAATTCCACTACTCTACTTGGTTCTTTTATTATTTCTTTTAATTGCTATACTGTTTTATGAGGTTTATT